TTGTATTTGTGGGTGATTTTTTTCTTCTCCATCTTGCCTAATACCCTTTAGCTGTTGTAACTAAACTTCATTGGCAGGAAAATGCATTTCAAGGTGGTAAAAGCAGTCATTAGCCAGCAGCGTTTGACTTTGTCACTCAGAGTATGACACCGAGTTTTTGATCCCACAACATCTACAAGATGATGAGGTCGTGTTTGTTACATGAAAAAGTTTTTTGATGAATTTCTATCAGTTTCTTTGCAGTACATGAAGTTTAGTTGTTAAAAAAAAAAATAGAAGACATTAATTTACTTTTTTCCCCCTACTTCTGAGAGGTTGCCATTACTTTTCAGATGAAGTTAAAATCTTTATTGCCAGTAAAAAATAGCAATACTGTGTATGCCTTTGTGTGACGTACTTTATCGTAACAGAAACAGCCTGGTTTTGACAAAAAACCAACGTGTATTCGTTCATTCTTCTGGATGGAATGGCCAACAAGAGCAGTCTGGGTTCCATGCTATAAATAGGCTTCATCAGATTTATTCAGGTTTATCCATCAGATATGAGCACTTTGGTTGTTCAGTCACTTCCAACCACGGTGTTAGTTTGTTTTGATATGAAGATGCACAAAAACACTGATTTGTCTCTCTGTACCTCTTGTTAGAGACACGCGCCTCTGACATAACAAAACTACCTGAAATGAGAAATTATTACCATTTGAATTGCACTTATAGAATGTTCTGAAGTCTCAGGTAGTGTTCCATGTATATATTTTGATAGCAGTAGTAGTCAGCGTGCTGGTTTTAAAAAAGCATTGCCGTACTTTGAGGTAGAAGTTTGGTTTTCGAAAAAGATTTCTGCGTTTAAGGTAGTTTTAAGTTTGCAGTATTTACAACGTATTGTTTTCACCTTTTCTCAGGAAATCCGAAGCATGCCAAGAGTTGTTACATGCATTCAAAGCCTCTATAAGCTCACGGCTCGTAAGTGCAAAATGGATGCAGAGAGAACGCTTGTGAAACAGAAGACAAACACTTTAATTAGCGGAATTTCCTTCATTCCAGTAACTCCTCTAAGAATAAAGACAGTTTCAAGGTATGTGTCTAAAAAGTAGTCTGCAGTTTTTACAGTGGCAATACACTGTTGTAATGATAAACCACTGTTATTTCCGCAGAATTAAACCGGATTGGGTTTTGAGAAAAGACAACATGCAAGAAGTTGTGGATCCGCTCCAAGCCATCGTGATGGTGATGGATACACTTGGCATTGCCTGCTACTGAAATGTAAATTAACGTATTTGTACAGTAGGTATGCAGCAGGCAGCTGAATGATTTTAAAATGGAACAAATAATTGTTAAGCTGCCCTTGAACAAGTTTTTGTAATTATCTTTTTGGTATTGTATAGCTTTTGAAATCCTGCCAAAATCAATTGTACAATAAAATCATATGTCCTTGTCTATTTTACTGTTGCACTGATGTGTCATTCTTGTACTGCTCTGAATCTTACCAGTATCGCGGTATTTCTCACCCTGACCAACTGTTGCGTAGCTGTTTGCATGCGACAGTTATGTTGGCCTCCCTGAAGTAGAAGGGTGTGGGAAGAAGAGAGAGGGTGCCGACTTGAAAAGTGGCTCGTGATTTCCTGGGGCTAGAGATCGCCTTCTGGCGAGCTTTGAGGGATCCCGCGTAACTGTAGGAAACCTTTAAAAAATTTGTTTTTCAAACTACAGGATTATGATGGAACAAAGGGTTCTTATAAGGATGAATCTTATAAGAAACTCTGACCTGCTATTTTAAGGGAGGTAGTTTTGTGAGATTTTACTGTCATATCATCACTACATAATAGCGTGCATCCCGTCCAGCTGAACAGACGCTGTTCATCACCGCATCTCCCTGAAATTCAGTTCTGCCATGCCTGGCAATTGCGTTTTCTTAGAGCACGGTCAAGAAAACCAAACCCATAAACCAATAACCTCCCACTCTGTTACCAGACGGATGCATTCCATGTTTTGACACGCTGAGAAGCGAACACTGAAAATTCAACTGTGGAATGTTGATGCTAAAGATTCCCGAGCAGCGGCACTCACGGTCTTTTTGTATTCCCTTCTATTTCCTGATAAACGTACATCAGTGTCACCAAAGCGTTCCGCTTAGAGGGCGTAACGGAAACACTGTACCCAAATAACTGAATGTAGTTTCTCAAAGTTATCTCGCCTAGGCCTCACGAGCAGAACAGAGAATATCATCACTACTAATGTTTCACTCGTTTCTACCAAGTGCAGCCACATTTCCTTCCAAGCAGAAAAGCGCAAAGGTGGAAAAGAGGCACATTGCAAGTAAGCAGACAAGTCCAATGAAAAGCATTTCATCGATACTAAGACAGACTTTCCGGTCCTTCTAACGTGTTCCTGAAGTAACTGTAAACGCAGCCTAAATAATTGCAATAGCAGCTTCCAGGCCATCAGATAATGCGTGCACGTCTATGACCGTGATGAAGTAATACTGTAGAAAATGGCTCTGAAATGAGAGCCGAGACCAGGAAACTCAAGCGCTTTCATTTAGGAGCTTACATCATAAGTGTAATTAGTACTGCGTATTAGAAAATTTAAAATCGGTACTAATTGTCGATATGAACTTGCTTGTTTTGATGTAAAGCTGTGAAATAGTAGTGTGGAGCTTTCTTTTCCTTTGGCATTTCATTTCTGTCTCCCAAAGCTATTTTCAGCCTGCTGGTACCCTGCTTAGACGAGCGCTAAGAGAAAAGCCTCTCTCCTGCATGGAATTGAATGCAATCTGCCTCATTTTAGTTACAAACTTCAAAATGCAGCTATCCAAGGGAAGAAGGGAAATGAAAACAGTTTCCTAACTATTTGTTACAAGCAGGCACATTAGTGAAACTCCAATTATAGGGTCAGTGTAATTAGACAGGGAATTGAACACGAGCGTCCAAGCGCTACGATATCACAAAGAAGCTCGTTCTCATTTTATACAGTCCAAAAATCATCAGATGTAAATTGAAACAAATTGAGGAAGTGATGGTAGTATATTACTTAGATGCACTCAAACTCCTAGTCTGACCGATAATGGTCAGATTTATGAAACCATTTATAATGCTTCAAGCATAGCGAGCACAGGTACAAAACTTTGTGCTGCATATTCCAGATCCACTATTTTGACTGAGGCGCAGGTCAAGATTTGTCGTCGGCACGGTCATTTCTGTATTAACAACACAGCAGCCTTATGCCCACCTCTTGCTAGAAGTATAACAGACGATACCTGTAAGGGTATTGTTTGGATTGCATGGAGGAAAACAGTCCGCACGAAAGAGAAGGGAAGCAGCGCTCCGCTTCTCCTTTACCGACTTCAAAGCAGCTACCTCAGCAGCTGGATTAGCTCAGCGCTTCCGAGCGGCTTTTGACCGCTAAGGGAAGACCAGTGTCTACGTATCACATTGCTTATGCCTTCATCATCACGAATTTATGAACCTAGGTACAGCCACACTCTTCCCCTCTATACTTTTTGTCCTCAACCTGAACACAGCTGTGATTTACTGAGGCAGAAGCAAGAACAGAGCCGGTTATTTTGCACGTCCCAAGACAAGCTGAGGTTAAATTACTTCAATAGCCTGCGTCATTAAGCCCTTCATAAAAATGAGCACTTGCTTCTGGAAACAGAGGGACACGCCTTTTCATTCAGTAATGAAGTGTTCCGATTTAAAGAATTCAACGAGTTGAAACCGAACAGCAAAGCTCATTAAGCATTTAACCAAAATGAGTATTGGAGCGCTTGCTGCTCGAAACAGGGACATGCTTTTTCATTCAGTAGTGCAGTGTTCTGATTTAAAGAATTCAAAGAGAAGAAACTGATCTGCAAAGTTTTGTTACCAACCTATTACACGAAAGGCACTTGTTGACTCACCCTCGGCATGCGTTAATCGTAACTCAGAGTTCCATTCCTCCTATCTTCTTACAATCTGACCGTTAGAAAAGAGATGCGAGGTGCATCTTGAGTCCAGCAAAGGGCTCTCTCTAAGAAATACCAGGTCTTCTCACAGCGTACTGCAGCTAGTTCAACGAAGTTTGTTGTGTTGTTTACTCACACAAATAGTTGTAAGCCCTGTGCTACGATGCTTTTTGTCTCCCAGGGCAATTCCCTTATAACATTTGAGTAAATTGAAGCCTTTTGCACAGCTGCAAGATGACCCGTCACCGAACCCTGCTCCTTCTCCCAGAGCACGTCGCAACATATCGCACAGACTCAGCGAGATCTCTCACCTCGCTCATGGCACAACGTCGCTGTTGGCTGTGAAAATACATCTATAACAGTGTGCAGTGAAAACATCTGCAGTTCTGCAAATATAAATAATACAAATGAACAAAGTCCCACTCTTGGGGTTTAACGTAAGAATGAAACTGCTACATAAGGTGAACTTCATCACTGAAGCCTTTTCGTAGCGCTTGTGTCCATTACTGGAGATAGCTAAAATCTCACAGAAAGTCATCCTGCCGATTTATAGGACACGGGAACGTAACTCGGAGCAGTGCAGCACAGAACTGTTTGCAACGCTCCCTTTCTAATCCACCAGCCCGCAATTGTTTTCGCTAACCCATGCGGCCACCGGTCACGTTGCCGGTCCCTTATTTCCACTGCCATTTATTGTGGACGAGGGGCGAGAGAAACCGGAGCGCAAACCGTCACGGCCGGGGCGTTCTGCGGAGCGTCATTCTGTCACGTCATTCACGTCAAATTCCAAGCGAGCCGTTTGAATTAGGTACAACTACTGAACTTATTAACAAACCCAACAACGAGGCGAGGAGAAGCGCGTAACAAACTGCAATTTGAAGCACAAATTAAGTCCGTGATTCAGATCTGGAACGCACGTGTCGAGCCGTCAGAGCCCCGGGCCGGCCCTAACGAAACCCAGCCTCGCTAACGAGCGCCAGGCGCCGCGGGGCCGCGCCCGCCAGCGCACAGCCGCGTCTCGTCGGGAGCTCGGGGGCGGAGCCCGCCGCAAAGCCTCTTAAGCTCCGCCGGAGTCGGCTGGGAGGCACGAGGAGCTTCGCGGAGATCCTCCGCCACGAGGGTTGGAGCGAGAGCAGGTTCCGTTCCCTCGTACTGCGGGGGGGGGGGAGAGCTACTCCCCCCCTCGTGCTACGCGAGGGGCTGCTTTTAGAAGGAAACGTTGGGATTCTACATAACGTTCTCTGTTGTTTTGTTTCAGGTTGCAGCGAGACCGCGCGCATTGAGGATCAGCCCGACCCGGTGAGCAGTTCCGGAGGTAGCGAGACGAGGGAGGCGGCGAACCGTCCGGCTGCCCTTAACGCTGTTTTTGGGGCCGGCGTAGGACTGCCGCCGGGCTCTGCCAGCTTTTCAGAGCCGGAGTACCGTCGCCGTCCGGTTTCCATCGCACCTTCGGGAGGTGCCGCCGCTCGCTTCCTCGAGTCCCGACGCGGCGCTCTCAGCCGCGTCGGGTTTTTGGGCGGTCGCTTCGGTTCCTTCCGCCGTCATCGGCGGGAGCGAGCGGGACGGGGCCGTACTGTTCCAGCCTTTGTGCTGGTGAGGGTGACACGCGACGCGAAGGGCTGCTAACACTTAAGTTTACGTTTTCGCAGGCGGAGCGAGGGCCGCGGCGGAGCCTCTTGTCGGCCCGATCCGGCGAGCGCTCGGGGTGCCAGGTAAGCGCTCTGCGCTCGGGTTTTGCGTAGCGCAGCTGTTCGGCTACCTCAATTTCTTAGGCTCGGCACGGGGCCGTTGCCGGGCTCTCGCACAGCCTTTTAGAAGGATCGGCACTGGGCCGCCGCGGTCCCCGCAGAGGGTTTCGAGGGCACTTCAGCACATCCCGCGTCCGGTGTTAGCAGCGAGTAGGACGGGGCCGTGCGTGCACTCCTTCCTCTCCCCCAGTTACGTGTAACTTCAGGAATACCATTCGCGGCAGCTCGTGTGGCTGGCGATGTTCTTTTCAGGACAGACAGACGCGGCGGTTCACGCGAGGAAGCCCGGGGGCGAGCGGAGGAGCGCTCGGCAGCGGGTAATGCGGCAAACGTCCTAGGGGCGTCCGTTACAGAGCGGGACGAGAAAGTCGGTAAGACCTTCTTCACGCAGCTGGAGTTGGCCTCACCGCTGCGGGGAAGAACCGTATGACAGGCGCGGCACCCGAAGAAGACTGTGCGTTCCCGGCGGGTGAGAGGTACTGCGGGCGGGCCGCGCGCCTCGTGGCCGATGTTATCCTGGGGTGAGTTAAAAGGAACGCGGGCGGCAGGGCGAGGGAGGGGACCGTCCTTGTTCCACGTGCCCCGGCGGGGCCGTATCTGCTTCTGGACTCTGCAGGTCGAGGAAGACAGGACGTTTGCGGAGTCTGGCAGAGAGCGGTGAAGACGATGGGGGTGCGGGAGCGTCTTCTTTCTGAGGAACAGATGAGAGATCAACGACTGCCTAGCATCCTTCTCTGGGAGTACGGTGATCTCCGGAGAGCCCTTTTCAGTCCTACAGCTCTGGTTCTGATCTTGCTGTGGGGTGAGGGCAGCAGTGAAGCCGTTTTTGCTGGCGATTGGCCTGAATATGCGAGCGGTTTCTTCAGCGTTGGAATGAAAGATGTGAGCCTTCAAACCTGAGTGCTGTCTGCCTTGGTGTGGGGCCTCCCACCTGGGTGGCCCCTTGGTGCCCTTCCTGCATGTTTAGGGCTGGAGAAGGGTGCTATGGAGGGATGGACTGAAGTGAGTTGTGTCCTTTTGTGTCTGACCTGTATTCCTGGGATGGAATTGAAGGGTAGGACTGGGTGCTAACAGACAAAAGCCCCTTCTGTTTGGGTCCTTGCTTGACACGAAGCTTCACTGTGCTTTCCTTTCAGCCTGGTGGTGTGTGGCAGGTGCTCTCCTGGAGGGATGGAATTGACGGAGGGAGAGGTGAGAAGTTCTGCCTGTCCTCCTGTGTGGGGAATCTGGAGTCCCTAGTTCTATTTCCTGTACTGGGGCAACCTGTTGTCTGCCTTGGTGAGTTCCAACACTGCAGAGCTCTTTTTTTCTTCAGGTCCTGGTGCAGCTGGTGTTCTGGGAGGATATTCAACATCCTTGGTTGGTAGCTGGGCTCTTGTGAAGCTGCAGAGGTGGAAGCAGAGAAGCTGTCCTGAGAGGTAAGCCTTGGGTGTTGCTGCGTGCCCTGTAGGTTGTGTGTTAGCTGTAGCACCCCCCCCACTGGATTCTTTGAGCGCTGATATAAGTTGCGGTTTCTCTGGAGGTGCAGATTGTAATTTTGTATCAGTGTGGTTTATTGGCCAGTGAGGTTAAGGTGGACCTGAGTTGTGGTCTGTGTCACTTGGTTTATTTGCTCTTTGTTTGTGGTGGCTTATTTGTGGTCTTCACTTGGTTTACTTTTTTGTGGCTGTAGTAGTTTTGCTTATTTTTCTGTGAAGTGATGGTGAGTTGTTACTGAGTTTGTTTGTTGTTTTTTTTTTTTTTTTTTTTTTTTGTGGTGGTTCACCCTGCATGGAAGAGCCCCCCTGGCTGGTGGGGCTCCCCCTGAGGGGGGGTGTGGGGGGATACCCTACCTGGGTGCTGGAGTGGCTCCTGTGTGGTAATGATCCTTCTAGGCTGGAAGAGAGGTGGAAGCTAGCGAAGCCAGCTCTTCTTGGCCCTGTGTTCTGCCTAAAGGTAAAGTACAGTTCACTTTACCTCTTGGGTAAAGTGTGTTTAATGAAGCCTTTGTCTGGGGCTTAAGTTGCTCTGTGCAGTCACTTAATGTGCACTACAGAGTGTAAAGGGTTTTACCTTCTGAAAGGGCTTGGGTAAGCAGCTGGAGGTGAAATGTTCCTGTGGTGAGTGTCCATCCAAGTATGTGTCCTGTATGTGCTAGAGCTGTTTTGCAGTACCTGCAACCTCAACAGACAGTCAAAAAGGAGTAACATTGGTGCTCTTGGTGACCTTTGCCAATTACTAATGGGGGGAGAAAGTGTAATAGGAAACTAACAAATGAAAATGCTTAGCTTTTACTTTCATAGAAATGCAGAGAACTATCTCCTTGTGGGGATAGGGCTTTACTTCGCTTGTATTTAAGGCAATGCCTCAACATGCCTACCTACTAACTCAATTTGGTGCAACTTAAATGGTATGTTTTAAAATTATATTAGTAAAATAGGCTCTTTTGTAGACCTGCCTTTCACTTTATCACCTTGCTGAAGCAAAACTGTGTAGGAGGACTTGTAACCGACTCTGTTTGCATTTCAAGGTATGTCCCAAAGATACTGGTAGCAACCATGTTTACTTCTGTGGGGTGGGAAGCAAGTGATGCATCAATTTTGCAGAGGAATGATTAGCTCAGTACGGTTACTTTTTTTATAAAGACTGTTCTGACTAAGGCAGAAGTGCTCTGTGGTACACGTAGCCATGAGCACGCCAAAGAATAAAATGGAACGATTAGACTGAACTAGCTGAATTTTTTTATTTATTTTTTTTTTTTTTAGGGTGAAGTAGGTACCTGCCTGTCTTCAACGTAACTGAAAAAATCTTCACTTACCACAAAGAAAGGGATGTACCTGCTCTTCATGTGCTCCTGCCTTATTCCCTTGCCACATATGTTAGCTTATTAATCACGGGGAACAGGAAAGGGGAGGAAAAAGTCCCTCTCTTGCAATTGGCCACTTGAGTGTTCTGTAAAAGATTCAAAAGCAAGACTTGATTACAAATTCTACTTATCTACTTCAAAGCCACAATTCATCAGACTTGCTTTACTTGCTGACTGCAATCATAAGTATGTTTCCAGTGTTTGTATTGTTACAGCTGAATTTCAGAATATCAGTGTTTCTCAAATTTGGTAGAGTCTTACTGAGCTTGAAGGCAGGTGTGCTGTCTCAAAAATAGAGTGGCATTGAGTGTCTTGCAATAAAACCTTGTTTCCTTTCTATAAAATCAGCTCACTGAAACTTATCTGGTTTCTTGCTAGGTAACTCCAACTAATGTTTCTTGGTGAAGGCCTTTGTGTCAAATCTTAGTAAGTTAGCTTCTGCAAACCTTCATCCCATACTGAGTCCAAACTCTAATGCAAACAACATTGTCCTATTCCACATTTACCTTTTTACAAGAAGAAATGGAACTGCGTTTGGATTCTGCCATTGCATTAAATGTTGGTCCAGGCTCTCTGTATATGTGCATTCCTCCATTGGTGAATAGTAGAAAAGGTTTTCTTTTTTGGATTAACTCTTACGGAAAAATCAAACAGGAGCCCTAATCTTAAATTTATGTGGGCTCTGGGACAAAGAGTGGGTCCTTGTTCCTTTTTTGTTTATACATAGCACTGATTTCCACTCACACAGTGCATGATAAAACTCCAACCTTCTTCACTTACCATATTTCAGTGTTGTAATTGTACACGGTAAACTCGCTTATGCATTGACTCAGGTTGCTGTGCTGAAAAGATAAATCCCTCCCTGTAAGCCTGTATGATACATGTCAAACTATGTTTTTTTTAAAAACAAAAATAAACTACAGTAACAATGTACGTTGCTTTGACTTCACTAACTTTGGTTTGCAGGTTCTAAAGTACTTGATGTGACAAAAACCAGTGGTAGAAGGAAGAAAAGAGCAAGGTTTCAGAGGGGGTCTCAAAAAACTTACTGTTTATGCTATGAGCTATTCATACTACTTAGGCACACTAACCTCAGATAAGTCAGGTGGAAGTGCTTACCCTTCCAACTATGTTTCTAAGAGACAAGATCCCGTAAGCTCTGTGAGCCTAGCAAAAAAGCACAAGAATGGGCCTAATGACTCCTGAGGAAAAAAGAATGAGCCTGGCGGATGGAACTGCTGGGGTGAAAGCCAGGCTGGCATGCTGTTACATAATTTTGTTTTTAACTGGAGTTTAATAAAATCAAGTGATCAAGGAGATAAGTGCATGCATGAAGTCCTTGTGTGACTTGCTGAACCCTCATCTCAGTTATTTACGGTGAGTTAGGATGTCAAATCTGAGGTTTTGCATATAAAAACTGCAGGCCCACTTTGAGCAATTCCAAGACAGGGCCGTAATCTATCTTGTGAAAGGCATTTAATTACTGTGTACTTAAAAACAAACTGCCTCCAAAGCCTGTCAAGAATTCCAGAAGTTTTTAGAAAGGTGGATTTATCTTTAAGATTTTCCAGGCATCGTGAGAATAAATTTTTTTCCCTATTAAATGTCTTAGAATTAGACTGATGCTCTCCCATGATGTTGGAAGTAACCATGCGCTCAGATAAGTGGCTGTTTAATGACATCATTGTGCCATCACAATGCCCCACGTGCTTTCTTCACTTTGCAAAGCAATTACCGTGTTCTCCAGGCAGCATTTATTGCTAACAGTAACTCTGTAGAATGTTAGCTTTTAAGAACAGAGTGCATTGCTAACAATTAAATAACCACCCGGGGAAAGAAGAGATGTTTCAGCTCTTTGCTTTCCCACATGCTTTTGCAGAACATTTGAGCTCTTTTAATTTCAAATTCAGAAGCCCTGTGTTGAAGTGATTAAGTTCTCTGTGAGGTGTAAAGCCCCTCAGATTGCCAGTATTTTCTGTCTTCCACAGACTGCTCTAATTGTGATTCCAGGTGTATATCCTACAGGGGCAGAACTTAACATTCTATTCGCATCATTCTCTGTGGCCCCCAGATAACTTCATGAACGGGCAACTGGCCAACTACAGAATGGGGGGAGCTAAAAATTGAATCTGCTGAGCAAAGAAAGGAAATAAACATGTTTCACCGCTGTGCTAAAACTCACTCACTTGTACACGTTCCTTTTGTCTCTGTGTCGAAAGCAAACCTCTGCCTCTCTCCTCCAGTTTCGCAAAAGGCAAGGAGACTGAAGCGAGCACTCTGAATGGGGCTTTCCAAATGCTGACTTACCGTATCAGCTTAGTTCTCTATCAAGCTAAAGACAGTCAGATCTACATTTTTCCCCTGTCTAGAAGAATACCTCATCTACCTTCCCAGTAACTTATAGGAATTTCAACCAAGTGGACAAAGCGTTCACCTTTGGAGGACAAATCTTACCCTCTGAAGTGTCCTTAATCTCAATGAGGTGATTAAGTACAAACTGAGTCCCTACAAGTGCAAAGCCTGGCAGAAGTGGCCGCAGAGGGACCAGGTACCACCGCACTTATCTGTCAAGACTTCACAGGGAATGAAAGATTCTCCCATAAGGAGAGAACTGCTCCTCTGAGCAATTGTTCTTAAATCCAGTACACACATAGAATCCTAAATACAATAAACAACAGCAATACCACCTAAGTAGAAACTGAGTTCTGATATTAAAAGCCCCTTCATTATGAAATCTACCAAAAAAACAAAATTCTAACACTCCTTGGCTCTTTTTTTCCCCACACCAAGAAGGAATAATGCCAGCCCAGCAGCGTTACTTCAGACGGGTTCCATTTCTGCAACACTGGATATGTTTCAGAGCTTTCAGTTACCTCACGCTGAGGAGGCTATGAAATTACTACAGAAAATAATACAGCAGACCATGTGTGGAAGACAAAAAATACATATAGATTAGCAAATGCTGAGATAGAAAGAAGCATAAGAGGAACTCTTTAAGGATGCCTTTCTGAGAGTGCTAGAGTTCTCCAGCCCCTGCGCTAGACAGCAAGCAGAGGGGGCACAAGACCAGGGTGTGACAGAGCAATCACCTTCTGGGGAAAAAACAAGGCAAAAGAAGGAAAACAAAATGAACAGGCTGAGGAAACAGGGACGTGTAACCTGGAAAGAATACACGGATGCTTTCCAGATGGGCGGAGATGAGTAAACTGACAGGCACATGAAACTGAACATGGCAGGAGACTTAACAAAAAGCAATTTCTTTGTGTCAGAAAGACAAAAGCCAAGGGAAGCGTACTCCCTCTGATAAGCGAGAAGGGAGAAAAGGCAACGACAGACGTAAGGAAGGCTGAGGTGCTCAGCGAGTCCTTTGCCTCAATCTTGGATGGCAGTCAGCCTTTCTGTATCTCTCAGGTCCCTAAACCTCTGGCTGGTGAAGGGGGGACCTAATCCCTCCAGCCGTAAGAGAAGAGCGAGTCCAAGCCCACCTGAAGAGACTGAATGCCTACAGGTCCATGAAGCACGATAATATGCACCCCAGGGTCCTGAGGGGACTGCCTGATGCAACTGCTGTGCTACTCTCCAGCATATTAGATAAGCCAGGGCTGTCAGGCAAGTCCCCGGTGACTGGAAGAACATCACAGCAAAGCAGATGAATGCAGAGCTGTAACCTCGATGAAGAACCATCACCTGTGCCACATCCAAATGGACTGACACAACCAGGGGAGTATCCTGCACTGCTCTCAAATTTCTGTGCATCTCCTTACTAAGAACAACTGATTTTATAAGCTGTAAAAAAGAGCTCGCTGACAGACCGAGAGGCTTGGGCTCAGTCGGTTCAAGCCAGCTCTCCTTCACAAGCCTACAGTAAACACGTGGAGAGGGTCGGTGATTTCCCAGTACCTACAGTACTGTGCAGCACGGGTGCTTTTCCAGAAGGGAAGCCTACAATGTCCACTGCAGCACGTGAGGTGACTAAGCGTTCAACCCGCAATGAACTACTCCCGTTCTTTGGCTTTACTCTAATCTTTACACAATACAAACAATAAAAACAAACAAAAAAATCAAAATGCTACCACAAAAAGTTACCTGATACGTGTTCCCATGATTTTCAGTGTCTGCACTTCCAGGATGACCTTTGCCACCACCGAAATCCCAGGCAGAGTAAGGCGCAGTGGGAAACCCTCTGTTCCCTGTGTTGACAGCTCCCGCAGGTGCCTGAGCTGCCGCAGATCCCACTTGTGCTTGACAATGGCATCCACATAAATACAAACCTGAAAAAGCAGTGATTGCCTTTCACTGGGTGCTGTGATGCTGTCGAAGTAACTGCCTGAGCTTTAACGCACCGCTGTTACTTTGACCTTTCATCCCTCTCCCTTTATGCTCCATTTCATCCTGCTTTGAGAATAGGAGCAGTAACTGCCCTCCACTGAAACTGCCCTTTTGTAAGGCTAGAATAGGGTGATAATAGCAGGGTGGCAAAGTCTTTGGTTAAAGCAGATAAGAATGAACTCAAATGCAGCAGACACAGAAAGGAAGGGAGCTGCTCAGCTTTAGAAGAGCTCAGGCAGGCAGGAATCTCTGGAAAGTGATGCCCTCACCTCCCCTGCTGGCCCTTAAATGAGGTCTGGGAAGGGGTGGATCCTGGCTCCACCCCTGCAGGCCTCTCAGCTGCATTGCTTGCACCTGAGCACCCCTGAATCTGCCCTGCTGAGCACCAGGTGCTCGATTACTGCTTCAGGCTGTGACTTAGTTTTTTCTCTACACCTCAGTGTATCAATTACAGATTTTCCAGACGCTTACTCCAACACTGCTGCTTCTGGTCACCTTGACTCTGAACTCCTTTTCATTGTCTGATCGACTGCAGATCTTGTCGCTGATAGGCTGGTATCTTTCCCCACATTAGACATAATGTTTTATCACTGCCTCTGATTTCAGCGCACAGAATCGCGGTCGAGCTCATTTCTTGCTTAGCTAATGCAGCTAAAGAACATCTTACTATTGACATTAGATCTTATAGGTTGCACACTTTTGATAAAATGTATGGAGCATCTTCAGCTTCCGTAGACTGCTATCTTTCTTTTAGGTCCTTGTAGGATTGGTGACTCGAACATGTTAAAAAAAAATTGGGAGTGTCCGCGTCATACTGGCTATGCAGTTTCAGACCATCATCATCATTTATACCTCCCGTTACCATTTAGACATTTCGAATTTCAAAATCAGAGTCTGAATTCTTATCTTTTTAAAGTCTACGGAATTTTTATGTTTACTTCAATGCCGCAAATTGCATCCCAAATGAAATTTCCAGGTGGATGAGTGCCACGAGGCCCAAAAAACTGAGGCATTTTTCGTTTCAGTGAACACTCGCAGTCACATTAGATATTCAAGTTACAATTACTGAATCTCGACAGCATTTCATATCAAGGCTGCAGGGTGCTCGGCACTACCCGAAGCAAAATGCTGCTTTAAGTTGGAGGACTGAGCGTATGCTGAGAACTGAGTGTCCCTGTAAAAATATGCATGTCAAGTCAACTCAAGAAAATAAAAAGATTGCCTCCTGATAAATGAAAGGCTTGGCTCCTGCAGAAAACCATTCAGTATTTAGATCTTTCAGCTCATCTACAATTGCCTTCGCATGCCCTGGCTACATACGCTTGGCAGCGTCGATCCGGAACCCAGCCACACCAATGTCTGCGGGGTACTTCAGGTATTCTGCCATTCTGGAGTGCAAGCAGTTCTTCTCCAAGGCCAAATCAAGGAGATTAACAAAGTCGAGCAGCTTTCAAAGCTTACGTTAGGCTACTTGGGATCTCATTTTGTGCCCTTCATGTTTAGAAAGCAGAATGATAAAGAAATGCTACCACAGGGATCTGCCACACACAAAAGGTCGAACTATTACTTTCAGCAAGTAACAGAACAAAATATTACTATTTCCCCCTAAGTACTCATTCATTGTAAAAATCTCTCACGACTCAGAAACGATACAGGACAAGGAGGGAATAAGGAGGTCGCTGGTCAGTTTCGCCTGGGAAACATACATAGCTCTGGTGAATGCTTAAAGCGCCCTCTGGTTTGCTACGTTTTCCTAATGTAATGAAGCCACTGAGCCTTACCGGCAGGGAAACTGCTCCATGCCTTTGGTTACTCAAATAAGAAAATCAAGCGTCAGATAAATTTCCCAAAGCGGTAGGAATAATATATTTCGACTCAAACAGCGTCAGGCCTAGCGTTTAAGGCGAAGACTGAATGCAGGGTCTCATTCCTTTGAAATAAGGCTTGCGGCTGCTCCAGCTTCAGCGCGAGCAATAACAACGCAAGGGCCACGTGAAATCCCCCACGCGCTCGGAAGCTTCCAAACGGTTATTTTCCACGCTTCAAGACAAGTCGAGAAACAGCAGCCACCCCCCAGCTCCCCCGCGGTGCTTACCGGGCCGTACGGGACGCTGCCACGCTCTCCTGCCCGGCTCGCGGCGCCGCTCCCGGCAACTGCGAGGCGCCGCCCCTCGCGCGACTCCGAGCGGCCGCAGCGCCGAGCGCGCCCCGTAGCCGTGCGCGTGCCTGAGGGGCTGCTCCGCGGCGGGAACGGGCTGGCGGCGGGCGCGTGTGAAGGGCGGGTCATCTGCGCGTTCTTTTTGTTCCTTTGTAATTTAAATGAAGTATTTCGGCTTTTGAGTCTCGCAGCGTCGTCCTTTTCTCCCGGTCCGGCGCTCCTCCCCGCAGGTAGGGCACGCGGCAGCGGCGAGGCTCGCGCAGCATGCTCGCACAAGCGGTTTATGCAAAGGCGCCCGTGACCGAGAACGTGACAGACTAAACCGTGTCCTGCTCAGGGACAGCGGAAGGCCACCGGGCGATCTGCCGCCAGGCGATCTAGGGAGCTACCCGAAATGTAATGTAAGTGCCCTTCGTGTACCGCACCCACCCGTCAGTCACACCCAGCACGTGGCCCCAGTCCCGCGGGCTGCTCCGCAAAGATGGGCTCCCCTAGGACGTGGTCCCGAGTAAACCGCGGTGGTAATTACAAAGGAGACCGGAATCATACAGCAAAAACTCATGCTGGTGCACTGGTACTGTTTGGTCTCCAAGACAAGTAAAAGCATTTACACTGAAATGAGACTGTCCTTGGATTTACTTGCCATCTTACCCCGAGCTATTAGGAGCCGAACATCAGACCCGAATCAGGTCGAACACGTTGTCCACAATGACAGCGAAGGTTGAGCAAAAGGTAAAAAAAACTAAACAAGCCCTAAATCTCAAAGAATTGCAACAAAATATTTGTGTCTTGCTCCTCCTTCCTGTTCACGAACCTCATAACAACAGGAAAACGTAGCATTAAGAGAAAGGAAATGATTCATTAGAGATTTCAAAAGCAAACTAACATACATGTATCATGTAAGTCTTCTGACCACATTACGTAACATACGTGGAGTCTTTAAGATGAGGAAGTTTCTACTCTGCCTCAAATACTTTAGAAATGCTCTAGACACAGTTCCGGAGTCCTGATGGTGGTACTGCTTCCTCCCCAGGCTTGGGAACTCTTGTGTGGGATGGAATGCAAAAAGGAACCTGGAACAACACAAAGGCGTGTTGCCAGCGTGAACAACCAGAACCTAGCAGTGCTTTCTTTTGACAACCGAATTGGAAGATGGTTAATGTGATAAGATCTCTGAGTACCTGAAGAAAAAACTCAGCGGGTATAAGCTGTATTAATTTTATATTATAATAAATGAAAAATGATAATGTAATACTAAATCCACACACACACACACAAAAAGTCGCCGTTACCTCATTGAAGAGAGTGATGGAAAGAACGACAGAAAAGTAACAGTGACTAATAGTTCCGTTCTGAACTCTGTTCCTGCGTTGTGAGACACTGTTGGATTTTGGTCTGCTCAAAAACAAAAAAATGTACAAACAGAAAATCGACACAGACAGTTGCTCATTTGATTGATTCTATGCATTCTATTTTGAATGATTCTGTGATTCTGTAATTCATACAGTAGGACAACAGTGATCAAACACATCCTAAAAACACATCCAGCCTTTAATAACATTAATAATGGCTTTGTGACGTATTTTAAACCAACATATTATTCTAATGGTTTATTTAAAGAAAAGGACGACGTCCTCAGTGTGAGCCCAGCACAGCTCCACACACATCTGTGAAACACTTCTAGCTCAGACAAGCTAAGGAATTGTATCGAAAATTAAATGAATTATATGACCTTTGAGGAGAAAGGTGAAAGCTGCCTTTTCAGATTAGGAACAGGAACGCTCGTTGCAACTGCTCACCCAATTGATAGCTCCTCTTTTTTTTTCCCTTGAAAAAGTGCTACTTTTTAAATCAATAGATTAATTCAGCCTCTAAAATGCATGAGATCTTCCCCAAAAGGAATAAGAAAAAGAAGGGAACGCTTTTGCACACCCTTGTTCCTAACAGCTTAAAGTCGAGGCTCATTCGTCTGCTTTCAACAAACAGTACAGAACGCCTGTAAAAACAACTCATTTAATCTAACTAATTTAATCTAACTTCTTTGGACAACAGTGTTGTTCCATTTTTCTTTGCTTGAAAGAAAGGTGGATGGCTATGCTATGGAACATAAGGACAGGAAAGAGCAGAGGCTATGTGGTTATGTTCTCATAAATATTAGGGCCTCCAGAATGAATTACAGATAGAATGCAAAGGAGTGTGTGGGAGGGAATTTTTTATTTCTTCTTGCTGCAGCCAAGGTAAATAATAAGCTGATAACAGAATGCCCTTTAAACCTGGAATTCAAGCGGTTCTAATGGGAACAGTGTTCAACTGGTTAAAATTTTTCCATTCGGTTTGTCGCCTAGTTTAACTGTTATATAACAAGTTCAGTCCCATTTACTGATATACAGCATGTCCAGTGGGAGCAGAGTTCTGCACGTCTATTTGTGGTTTGTGGAGAATTAAAACAAAATTAAAGTTTTCGGGGAAGTAACTTGAGTTACAAACCACTCTGGGCATTACAGCGTTTGTGAGTAGCACTGAAAATTCAGTTAATCATTTACAGAAGTGATAGTCGGGGAGTTTTTGCAGATGATGGAAACTATTGATGGGGACGGTAATGAAGATGAGATTTAAAAGCTGTCTTTTCTTCCTAGTTATGATGAATTCAGGCAAACTCTTTGTAGAAGGTAAAAACACCAAATTCTTTTGCTGATTAATATGCATTGAACGTAGAACGTGCAGTTTAGGTTTCTAAGGCAGGGTGTCTTTCGTATCTTGACTAAGAATGAAGACTGCTTTTTAAATACTGTTCTGTTGCGAGATGGCCGATAATCGTGGATCGGTTGTTGCTGCTTGTCAGAGCTACAGATTCACACGTTGATGCTGTATAAGGGAAAGATCCAGCTTTCTATTCAGAAAAGTTTCCTCGGGAAATGTATCTGAGCTACTTTGGGGCATTATACGAATGGAAATTTGCCCTCCTAGACATTATGTACGCTGGCATGTCTCAGTAATTGGGCTGTTCTGGCTAACCATCAAGCACAAGAGCAGAAGTTAAATGGTGCCTGCAGAGGTTAGCCTTGGGTGGTGTTTCACATTTCCTATCCCTGTTTTCAGTACCGTTTGAAATTCCTGGGTCTGTCTAGAATGCGTCCTGCTTGAACTGCGACTTCTGTTCTTAACCGCCCTTCCTTCAGCGAGTCGTCTTCTGTGTTACCTCCTGTTGGTTTGTCGTGCTGAATGAGCAGCTATTGCATAGCTAATTCTTGACGCTGTTTCCATTTCACTTCGGTCTGTGCATCAGAATGGTTTTTCAGTAGAAGGTGCTCGTTTCATTCCACTGATTGCATTTCTGTGAACCTAAAGAACGTAGTCAGATATATTTTCGATGTATTGTAATTTCAGTGCGTGTTGTAAGACTCTTCATGCCAAGGATGAGATTTAGTAAAAACGCATAGTAAGTATGATAACTTTAGAATAATACTATTTTCATTTAACAGTGACTGCAAATACACAGCTTGCACCTTGTAAGTAGTGTTTCGTTCCCTTTGTAACCCTGAATCACTCCAACTGTTTTTAAACAAATACGTTCTTAGATGGGGTGAGATTTTTAGTGAGCAATACACGTGTTATGTCTTTGCAGATAAACTCTGTGATTTGCCACATGTAGAAAATGGAAGGATTGCCCCATATTATTACAGCTTCAAAGATTACTATTTCCCTACGCGTAAAGGAAAAAGCCTTTCCTATTCTTGTGTGGCTGGTTATACAACTGAAACCGGGACTCAAGACGGAAGAATAATTTGTACAGCAAAAGGATGGTCTCCAGTGCCACAATGCTACAGTGAGCTCGCTTCTTCATTTCATTACTGCCTCTAGCAGAAAACTATTTTAGCTCAGTTTCCTAAGTATTATGGGGACAAAAGGTGCAGAATAGTAGAGATAAAAATGCCTAAGTTAGGTCGAGGTGAAGTCCGCTATGTATATTCATACGTTGAACTGTTTAACACTAATGTATGTTCTAAGGACTCTTACCACATATGCTTTTTAAGAATTTCAAGAAAGCTGCCTAGCATAACTTAACCGGGGAAGAATAATTGACATCTGAACCTCCTTAGCTCCAGATTGACATATTCCGTGGTACTACTGTCTGTTCAATGATCGCAGTAGCTTTTCGGTAAAACGAGAAAATGAAATGAGATGGAGATTATTTAAAAACCCCACTTTCTTGCCCATCAGAGACAATATTACCTTAGTTATTTATTCCTAACCAAACCGTCTCTTTTCATTTAGAAAAATGTAATAAGCCTCTTCTGGAACATGGCATTTTTTACGGTACAGAAACGTACTTCAAAATACATGAGAAATTACAATACAAATGTAATCAAGGTTACCACACTCCCAGCGGTGGCACTGAAGATACAGTACAATGTCAATCAGATGGATGGTCTTCCCAGGCAAGCTGTATTAAGAAAGTTGGTAGGATTGTGTTTCTCTCCTTTTTATTTCATATATGTTTATAAAATTCTGCTGTCTTTCCCGTACCTGTAAGGTCAAACTGCCTTTGTTAGGTTATTTGAATATTCTTGAAGTAAGTTCCCGGCTGTACCTCATACGATGAAGTTGTCAGATGTTTCACGCTGCTTGTTTTGTGAATTGGTATAGATAAAATTGTGGAATCGGTATAGGTGAGATAATTTTGTTTCAAATAAACCCATTTCTGTCCAAACTTTGCACCCAAATGAACGCTAGAAAACCTATGTAAACTGTTGCGTTTTTAATTGTTCATTATTTCCAAAGACTGCCTCAGATACAATCACTTTAAAGGGAAATTTTAGATAAGTAAGCTTACAGGGAAAAAAAAAACCCACGGCAATATTACACGTCTTATTCATTTAAGAGTCATGCCAAGTACCCGAGTTACATCATGGCAACTACCTAACGACCCAGCGAGAGCTCCGAGTGAATCAAGTGCTGCTATATACATGCGATGAGGGATACCACACTGC